CCCCCCCAACCAACCAACAGATGGGACCAGATAGAACATATCTCTGAGTCTAAGATCCACCCCTTTCAGCAGAGCAGGGTAGAGGACTTTTAAATAGAGAACAAAGGTTGTGTGGAAGTCAATAATGGGGTTACCCGGGGTCTTGCCACTCAAAGTGTGGCTCCCAGACCACCAAATCAGCATCGTCTGGTAACTTGTTAGAAGTGCAGAGCTTCAGTCCTCCCCTCAGATCTACTGAATCATGATCTGCATTTTAATAAAATCCCCAAGGGATTTGTATGCACTTTGAAGTTTAAAAAGCACTTCTTTCACACATCTCTATTTTTACAAATTGGGTCACAGGCCATATAGATGACGCACCCAAATACCATAGCTCATTTTTAGTTTTTTATTATGTTTCAGCCACTCATTTCAATGCAACATTCTGGGCTTTGTCATCATCCAGAATTGCACCATGTTGGAAATATGTCCAGAGAGACTATTTGGTATGCCTTGTCCTCCAACCCTTCCAATTCACTCACTCTCTCACTCTTATTGGTCCTTTGGCAACTTCAATGTCTCTGATCCTTTGGTGTCTTGGCTTTCTCCCCACGGGTCTACTTCCCTATTTTCACTTTCGTCCAACTTAGATTCTTTGTTCTATCACTGCAGTTGCTTTTTTTATATCCTGTTCCCTTGTTTCATTTATTTTATCACACTTATGCAGAAACTCCCGAGATATTAATCTGTTTGCCTTCTCAACACCTGTGACCAGGTGTCTAGTGCAGCTGGAGGGGGGAAAAAATCATTCATGCTCCTGATTAGAGTAATTTTAAATTCAGGGCAGCCCTCAACTGTGCCTTAAAATCAGCTGGAAATCCTGTGTTGCCTGGGCAACAAACACTTCCTTACCCTCAGCAGGTCACCAGCTCCACAGGAAAGAAACCAAAGCCATCAGGTGGGAATTCCCTCACCTCCCCAGAAACCTACACATTCACCTATATCCACCCTCATTCATTTCTCCTTCCCTCCAATTAGAATGGGAGAGATGTCTGTCCATCTCTCATGTTTTACATCCCATTGCATCCCACAATCACAGGAGTCTCACTATTATGATTATATTTTTCCTATAAAAAGCATTTAAATATGCTCAGTCCCAACCATGTGTGTTTTTTTAAAGTAAAAACTTTGCCTTAAGCTTATGTCTCCCTCCGGCTCCCACACTCTTTTTCTCCATGTCCTCTGTGGAACTCTTGGTTGTCTATATAGACATCTTTCTCCTCCCCTTCTTCCTCGAAAGCAGAGCCTACATCCTAATATAAAGGGGGTGGGGGGAAATGCCAGGTGTTCACTTGCCAAAACTCCCTTGTAGCTGGGGGAGGGGTATGTGAATGTTAAAGCCAAGGAGTCCTTAGGGAATATGTCAGGAAGGTTTGCTTCCTAACGAGAGAGGCACATGAGGAGAGCTATCCCTCTGGATGTTGTCATATGAGGATGGAATATTTGGAGATGCTTTTATCATCTTATGACCACAAAGGGTAGCCAAGAGTATCCCCAGAGAAGCCAACCTGTGAACCCCCCACCTCTGGACTGCTGCTTACTATATATATAGTGTGTGTGTTG